TAATCTGTTCCCTTGGTCCTCAGGTCTATTTTTTTTTGCCAGTACCATGCTGGTTTTATCACAGTAACTTTGTTTATAGTTTCAAGTTGAGGATTGTGATGCCCCCTGCCTTGCCTTTGTTGCCTAGAATTACCTTTGCTATTCTTGGTCTCTTCTGGTTCCAAGTGAATTTTAGGATTACTTTCTCTAATTCTGTGAGATATGCTGTTGGAATTTTGATCGGGATTGCACTAAATCTATATAATAGTTTTGGAAGTAAGGTCATTTTCACTATATTGGTGCTTCCTACCAAAGAATAAGGGATGTCTTTCCATTTTCTGATATCCTCTTCATTAAACTAGGTTTAGGGTTCCCCTCCCTTTCATTACTTTAAAATTGTCACTCGGTTATCTTCTGTGTGCATATTTTCTGATAGGAAGTCTGCCATCATTCTTATGTTTATTTCTATACAAGTTTCTTTTTGTCTGGCTACTTCAGTAGTTTTCTCTTGATCTTCATGTTTCAGCAGTTTGACGATGATGTGTTTAGATGTGGTCGTCTTCGTATTAATCCTGCTTGGGATGCTCAAGTCTTCTGGAATCCATGATGTTTATCTTGCACTAATTTTGTAAAAGTCCCCATAATCATGTCTTCAAATATTTCCTCTCTGTTTTCTGTCCTTCTTGCCTTCTGCCCCTCCCTCTCCTAGGACTCTAGTCATCCATATGTTAGGTAGTTTGATGTGGTCCCAAAGCTCTCAGCTCCTCCTTTGTCCATTTCCCTCTTCTCTGAACACTTCCATTTGATTTCTGTTAACCTAATCTCTCGCTTCACTGATTCTCTTCTTTGCTATAGCCAGTAAGAAATTATCTCCAATATCTCCGATGTCCTCTCCTGCTCATACGCCCCCTAGTGTGCACTGTGGTCCCTCGGGTCAGAAGTTGTGAGTGCCACAGTCTCGGCCTCTCGTCCTGACTTCCTTTTGACTCTTTCAAAATAGGTTGAATTTCATACTTGTTTCATTTTGATGTGAAAATTTTGTCCTAGTACTAGTTTTGTTTGGTACTTGACACAAAAGCTAGAACTTGGTGTTGATTACCCTGTAACTTGTTACCCTTCCAGCCCCAGCAGTCTGGTTTAATAATTGTTGTTTCCCGTACATGTGGCTCCTCCCAGAACCAATTATCACCGTACTTACGCCTTGCCTCTCTCCCTGGCCCCAGACCACCAGTTCCAACAGTGGATTTCTTTTCTTCGCCTCTTTCATTTTTCTTCTTTGTACTGATAGAGGAAAAACTTTTTCTTTTCTCTTTTCTTCTCTCTTTTATGGCCTGGCCTGACAGAATAAAACACAATGCCCAGCACCTGTCATGAGTGAAGGAGTGAGGCCCCTCTCTCTGCCCGGAAAGCCCTTCTCTCCTCTGCCTTCCAGCAGGAGGGCTTCCAGCCTCCAGGTTCATGCACAGCTGGGTGTGGTCCCTTTTTGGGGACCTTGCAGCCCGGGGAGGGGCATGTCTCCCAGGCCTGTGCATGTGGGTCCTGCATAGTCGCAGAGCATTGAACTTGCTGTGTTTGGTCTGCTCCCTCCTCCTACCTCCCCAGGCATTGACCCAACTCTGCTCATCCTTACTCTTTGGGGGGGGAGGGAGGCAGGGTTTCATTCTCTAGTTCAAGCTGGCCTTGAACTCACTATGTAGTCCTGGCTACATAGTGAACTAGAGATCTTCCTGCCTCAACCTTTAGAATGCTAGGCTCACAGATGTGCACCACCATGCCCGGCAGGCATCCCCACCTGTTTTGTTATTTTGTCCAGGCTGGCCTTGAACCAGAGATTCTCCTGCCTCAGCCTCTCCAGTAGATGGGATTACAGGTGTGGAGTTAAGATTCTGAAAGCCCCTTTCCTATTCCAGGAGCAGCGGATCATCTCATTCCCCTCCGTGAACAGGAGGACGTGGCCTGGAGCATGTGGTGTGTCCTGCGATGCTGCAGGCCCGGGCGCCTGGGCTCACGGACAGCCCTGGCCTCTGCTGCCCTGGGGAGCCGCGCTCTGGCCCGCGCTGGCTGCAGCGGTGGGGACTCCGAGTACAGCTACGTGGTGGTGGGCGCGGGCTCGGCGGGCTGCGCGCTGGCCAGCCGGCTCTCCGAGGACCCGGCCGAGCGGGTGCTGCTGCTGGAGGCCGGGCCCAAGGACCTCCGTGCGGGGAGCAAGCGCCTCCTGTGGAAGATCCACATGCCCGCGGCCCTGGTTGCCAACCTGTGCGACGACAGGTACAATTGGTGCTACCACACGGAGCCGCAGCAGGGCCTGGACGGCCGCGTGCTGTACTGGCCGCGGGGGCGCGTGTGGGGCGGCTCGTCGTCGCTGAACGCCATGGTGTACGTGCGCGGGCACCCCGAGGACTACGAGCGCTGGGAGCGCCAGGGCGCGCGGGGCTGGGGCTACGGGCAATGCCTGCCCTACTTCCGCCGCGCGCAGGCGCACGAGCTGGGCCCCGGCCGGTACCGCGGCGGCGATGGCCCTCTGCGCGTGTCCCGGGGCAAGAGCCGCAACCCGCTGCACCAGGCCTTCCTGAGCGCTGCGCAGCAGGCCGGCTACCCGCGCACCGAGGACATGAACGGCTTCCAACAGGAGGGCTTCGGCTGGATGGACATGACCATCTATGGAGGTGGGTGGCCTGGCCCCAGCCCCGTCCCCCCTCGCACTGGGCCAACCCGTAGCAAGTGTGGATGCAGGGAAGCTGGTATGGGGTGGAGGGGAGGTGACTTAGCGCACCCCCAGATGGCACAGAACACGGCCAGAGCCAGTGAGAAATGACGGCACGGTGATCCTTGGGGTACTGTCGGGGCCTGTGGCCCCTGTTGGCGTAGACAGCGCAGGATCAGCTCTCTGGACAAAGGGCCCAAAGTCTTCCAGTCATGCAGATGGGGAAACTGAGTCCCAGGGCTGGCCCACCTCTTCAGGGATCTCATCTTTCCTTGCTCCTGATCTCTGCCTCACTCTGTCTCGGGGAAGGACGGTTCCACCCGTGCCCAGAGGACCCAGGTCAGCGGGGCCTTCAGTAGGGCAGGGCTCTTGGGTCTCAGCCTTCCCTGGGAGGCAGGGCTTGTGCAGGCAGAAGCCAGGCTAACTGGCTCTTTCTCCTGCCCCTCTTCCTGCCCAGGCACCAGGGGAAGGACAGGGACCGTTTCTGACTATGCTGTGTCCTGCAGGCAAGCGCTGGAGCTCGGCCTGTGCTTACCTGCACCCAGCACTGAGCCGCCCCAACCTCAGGGCTGAGGCGCGGACCCTGGTGAGCAGGGTATTGTTCCAGGGCACCCGAGCAGTGGGCGTGGAGTACCTCAAGAGTGGCCGGAACCACAGGGTGAGTGCAATGCAGCGAGGGCACTGAAGGCTGGGGGGAGGCTGGCTCAGGGCGGGTAGAGCTGCAGGCTCTGTCCCTTGGTGAGTGAGCTGCGGGTGGCAGGCTGGTGGACTGTCCCCGCAGCCTCACGGGAAGGAGGGAGCGGAGGGGACCTAGGCAAAGCCGCTGTGGGGCCCCGGTGTGAGTGCCCCTGGGCTTGCGTGCTCATTTCGGGGAGTCCCCTGGTGTCTTCTGTGCCCTTTCAGGGTACTGACCTGACAGAAATTTATAGCTTTATATGGGAGGTTTTTAAATCCGTAAATGTGAGCGTACACTGTGTCACTCCTGCAGTTTCCTGTGTGGAGAATGTGACTGCACATGTTCTGCTTAGCAGCATGTCAGAGACTGTTTTGCACAGCCATGTGTAGATCTGGCTCATTGCTTGCTTGCTTCACTGCTTGTCTGAGTGCCGGCCTTCATCCTCTCGCTTAAGTCTGCTCTCCCTGTTCTTAAGGCCCTCGTTACTGTCTGGCTACTGCAGAACACCCCAGAGCACAGGCACCCTTGCTGCTCACACCCCATGGCTGGAGATGGCGGCACAGCCAGGCCCCCTCTTCCTCCTGAGCCCATGGGCAGCTTTCTGCGGCAGTGGCCGCAGGGTTCCTGGTGCTCTGCGTGGGCACCATACTTCACGGCCCTGCTCTGCTGTTGCTGGCTGCTCCATGAGCCCGGCCAACAGCCGGCTCTGTGGGGAGTGTGACAGGCCAGCCCGCCCCCCTTTTCCCAGGTTTATGCCAGCAAGGAGGTGATCCTGAGTGGGGGTGCCATCAACTCCCCGCAGCTGCTCATGCTCTCAGGTGTCGGGAACGCAGATGATCTCAAGAAACTGGGCATCCCCGTGGTGTGCCACCTGCCTGGTGAGCGCCTCCTCCCTCTCCCCAGAGGCTGCCTCTGCAAAGCGAAATGGCAGGGGGGGTTTTGTCAGCGTGGCGGGGGACAAGAGTGGTGCTCCGTGGGATGGCCATCTCCTCTGCAAGTCCAGGGGTCCCCTGCTCCTCCCGGGCTGCTGGGTCTGTGTCCTGCCTTTGTGCCCTTCTCTGACCAGCCTTTCCCACGTGGGCAAGGAAGGGGCCTGGGCAGATGAGGGAGGGCCAGACTCCGCGGGGCCTGCGCACTACAGACTCAGCTTGTCGGGAAGTGACATTTAAACTGAGACCCAGGGATTTAACAGGCACTGGTCCAGGAGATAAGTAGACCACAGATCTTTTCCGGCCCACGGGGACACTTAAGAAGCCAGCTGAGCCCTGTGTGTAGCTACTTCCCCTCACCACTCCCGTCTGTCTCAGGAGTTGGCCAGAACCTGCAGGACCACCTGGAGGTGTACATTCAGCAGGCGTGCACCCACCCGATCACCCTCCACTCTGCCCAGAAGCCCTTGCGGAAGCTCTGCATCGGTCTGGAGTGGCTCTGGAGATTCACAGGTTGGTTCCTCGATACTGTCTGTAGGTATCATAGTCTCTCTTGAAGAGCTGAGTGAAGGCCCTGGCCTCACAATGCTAGGTTTGAAGTTGAATTCTGCCATGTACCTTGGCTCCGAGCCTCACTTTTCCCATCTGGAAAATGGGTATCCCATGTTCTGCCTAGTGGGCTGGTGTGAGGACCAGAAGCAGTAGCACTTGTCAAGATGAGTCAAGATGAGGCTGCCCCAGGGCTAGGCACTGGTCTTGTTGCAAGTGTAGGGGATGCACCTCACATGGGGTTCAGGAGCCAGAGGAAAGGCACAGATGGGAGGGCTTGGGGCTGGGATGTAGATCTTGCACCTATTTGGCCAGGAAGCTGCACTTAGAGGTGCTCCTTCTCCCTCAGCATCTTCCCCCCGCCCTCCCACACACTCAGTTAGCTGGTGGGAAGGACCAGTCCTATTTGGCAGGGTCACTATTTAAAGCTGTGGTGCTGGGTGAGGCCCGAAGGGGAAGGAGCAAAGCTGTGGGCCAGGCTCGGGGCTGGGCACCAAGAGGAGCTTCAGGGGGCAAGGCGGGACACCAGAAACAGCTTCCAGCCTTCCTCGCCCTGAGGCCCCTCTGCCTTGTCCTCCCCTGACCCACAGGGGACGGAGCCACTGCCCACCTGGAAACAGGCGGGTTCATCCGCAGCCAGCCCGGGGTCCCCCACCCCGACATCCAGTTCCATTTCCTGCCTTCCCAAGTCATTGACCACGGGCGGGTCCCCACCCAGCAGGAGGCTTACCAGGTGAGCAGTGGAGCCTCAGCCCCCGATGCCTGGGACATTTCCCACTGAGGCAGCGGGTGGGGTGAGGCAGCCAGGCCTGGAATCTTCCCCCAGGAGCACAGCACGTCAGTCCGCAGGGCATGCTCAGGGCAGGGGTCTTAGGGCAGGGTACGGGCAGTGGACAAACAAGGCTGCCTCAGCCCTGGGAGTGCCACCCTGGATGCGTGGGACAGTGGAATATAAAGGCGGGAGGGAGGAGTGGCTCACTGGAGCGGTTTGGAAGCGCTTGAGGAATGGGTCAGATGTAGGCACAGGCCTCACTGTGTCTGTGCTTGACTGGATGCCGCACCCCTGCCTCCCCGCTGGGAAACCTGAGGCCTCTCTTCTCCATGAGTTGGAGCTGACGGAGGTCACTGTGGGCCTCGCTGTGTCCTCTGGGCTCTTTCAGGTGCATGTGGGGACCATGCGGGCCACCAGTGTGGGCTGGCTCAAACTGAGAAGCGCCAGCCCGAAGGACCACCCTGTGATCCAGCCCAACTACTTGTCAACAGGTAATTCAGCGCCCACTTCGTCTCTCCTGGGTCTGGCTCGAATGCCTGGGGGAATGCCTTTGTGGAGTTCCCACTTGTCCCTGAAGTTTACCCCAGGGCTCCAGTTCCTGGCTCAGTCCTCCATGTCCCTAAACTTTGTCCCCCATAGCTTGTTGAGCCTCTCCATCGTGTGGATCGTGTGCTGAGGCTGGCACAGTAAGCGCAGGGGCTTCACTCATCTCTCCTCTGCAGATACCGATATCAAGGACTTCCGTCAGTGTGTAAAGCTGTCCAGAGAAATCTTTGCGCAGGAAGCCCTGGCTCCCTTCCGGGGCAAGGAGCTCCAGCCGGGAAGCCATGTGCAGTCAGACAAGGAGATAGACGCCTTTGTGCGGGCAAAAGTCGACAGTGCCTACCACCCCTCGTGCACCTGTAAGATGGGCCAGCCCGCGGATCCCATGGCCGTGGTGGACCCCGAGACCAGGGTCCTGGGGGTGGAGAGCCTCAGGGTTGTGGACGCCTCCATCATGCCCAGCATGGTCAGCGGCAACCTGAACGCTCCCACCATCATGATCGCAGAGAAGGCAGCTGACATGATTAAGGGGCTGCCTGCACTCTGGGACAAGGACGTTCCTTTCTACAAGCCCAAGACGCTGGCCACCCAGCGCTGATGCAGCCACTGCCTGAGGACAATCAGAGAAGCCCCTGGCGAGCCAAGAAGACTGACCGACACGGACCTTGCTCCAAGTGCTCTCTCCTGAACTGTCCAGGCCGCTGGGACCCCGATGGCCCCACTCAGTGGCCGAGGACTGGAAAGGATCTTAGGGTGTGTGACCAGAGCTAGTCAGCGAGTCACGTTCTTTTTCTCCAGTGTTTCCTGTGGTCCCTGTGGGGGAGGCCAGCATTCAGGCCAGGCCCCTCCTCCCTGCCTCCTTCAGGGGACAGAGCTGGGGGCCCGTAGAGGCAGAAGGTTCACTTAGGCCGCGTCCTTTCTCATCTCCACGTGGCCTGCTTCAGCCCAGGGTCCTGCTGCCTCCTGGGAGTGGTTCTCTGCCAGGCCCTCTCGGGAGGGGCTCTGCACAGCGGCTGTGTGGCTGCCAGGTGCAAGCTGAGCTCCCTGAGCAGCCCAGCATTGCGCTGGTCAGCTCAGCCCTGGCTTCCGTTTCTCGCCATCCTCACTTCACACTCAGGCTCGCTGGGTGACGGAGGGGCTTACTGCCCCACGCTGGTGCTCTGCTTCTTAAGAAATACGGTCTCAATAGAGGCTTTCTTGACCTTGTTCAAGCAGAGAAGGCCACTTGCGCCTCGTTACCAAAGCTTTCACGATTTAACATTTTAGAAGATCTTCCTGTTACCAGGAAACACAGAAGCCTTGAGCCAGCCCCTCGTAGTAGGGCACCGCGTCAGCTTCATCCGGAAGCAGCGGTCCTGAGAGAACCTCTCGGGCCCTGGGAAGCGGCCCAGGAGATGGAGCTGCCCCATACAGACAGGGCTGCTGGATTCTTATTCTCTACACACCCGTGGGAACAGATGAAAATGGTGCCGAGAGAGCTGGAAAAGCAGTTAAGTACAACTGGTGAAAGAAAACTAATGGAGAAGACTGGAGTTTTCAGGAGAACAAAAGCAGATACAAGTACCATTTACAGCAGCTTTTTGATCTTTAAATTCCTTGTAACTCAGTCCTGTAATCCAGTAACTTGTTAACCGAGGTGCCTCATCCAGACTGTTTTTACCAGGGAACAACTCCTAATGCATTGTGGATTGATTTTTCTCAAGATATCCAAAGCCACCACCTGTAGCAGGGAAGAAAACAGTTGCTATCTGGAAACCTGCCGCACTGAGCCCAGAATAAGGAGAAAAACTTGGGAGTTTCTGGGAAAAAAACCTTCCAGAAAGGTAGAAAGAGGAAAACTATCACACTTCTTTTTCTTTTCTTCCTTTTCTTCCCCACTAAGTTGCCCAGGCTGGCCTCGAACTCGCGTCTTGAATAGGTGAGCTGACAAGTGTGTATCACCATGCCTGACTTCTTTCTTTTCAAACTTCAGGCAGCTCTTGTTTAATCTTACCTATATCTTACTGGGTTTCTTGTTCTAAGAGAGGGTCAGAAAAGACATTTTTAAGTCTACCAAGAGGTTTCTCCCAGGGAGTCTCCTGTCCCGCCATCCACGGCCACCCATCCCCTGGGTCCTGCAGGCGATGCAGGAATGGCCCTGCTAGCCATAGTCTTGTGGGGAGTCGGATAAACTTTTTAGCTCAACTCCTTGGCAAAAAGCCTGTAATACCTAAAAAGTGGAAGCCAGTGTTTTGCAAAAACATAGTTGAAAGGGCCTAACAGAAAGCAGTACATACGCACAGAGCCCCAAAGAGTCCTGTCCCAGAAAGGAACCCTGCTCTTACGCCACTAGAGGTTCCCAACAGTAAGAGACAGCCCACAGAGGGGAGCAGGACCATCTCCCAGCACAACCAGAAATGGCGAGTCTAGAAGTGGGAGGCTGTGTCCTAAGGTACAGCCCTTCCACTTCCAGGGCAGGCTGTGGCAGTAGTTTTCATAAATTCAAATAGATTCTTTGCTCCACCCAAACCACATCCTGCTCCCCAAAGGCTTTTTCATATTTCCATTGATAAACTCACATGACATCAGATCTGTCACACAGATTTCTTTCTTTTAAAAGTCAGAAGGAAGTAAGCCCCCCCTCTTCCCAAGCCCTGGCTGCAACACAGGTGGCCCTGCTGGCTCCTTCCTCCAGTGCCCCACCTCCATGATGTCTTCAGATCACCCTCCAGGCTGTTCTGATGTTGGAAGCTGGGCCCAGGTCTGCTCCTCACTCTCCACTGCCCTCCCAGCTCCCCAGAGAGGAGGAGAAATGACTTCCCAACAAATGAAAGCATAGCCGGAGTCCGCTTTTGAGGTGGAGTGGCAGCAGGGGAGTTGGGGCTTGGTGCAACACGTCAGCTGTGTGGCTAACCCGTTTTTACAAGTAAGTCAGCTGTCCATCCTAAAAATAAAATCCTGTGGAAAAGGTGGTCACACGGACACTTTAGCCTGTAAAAACTACATCATGTGGGCCGGGGATTTAGCTCAGTGGTTTTGCTGCCTGCTGCGCAAGCACAAGGACCCGAGTTCGATCCCCGGTACCACAAAATGAAAAAACAAACCTACATCATGTGAGACAAACCATTCTGGCCTCTTTCAAGAGTGGAGTCACAGTTGGGTGGGTGGTACCTCCAGCTGCCATCTTCCCAGGCAGGTAGCACCCACACCAGGTGCCCAGAGGCTTCTGCTGCCCTCCTGGACCCCCACCCCCACCCCAGCCTTTGCTGGTGCCGCATACACTAGAGCTGGGATATGCCATTTGGCTAAGCAGATGCCCACACCCTGAGTAGAGTAGGTGGCTCTTTTTGGTACCAGGAATCAAACTCAGGACCTTGCACTTGCCAGGCAGGTGCGGTGCCACTGAGCTAAATCCCTGGCCCATAGAGTCTGTTAACTACGTCCTCACTGTTCACTGACAGTTAAATCACAGTAGGCATTTTTACTTTGTTATTCATAAAGACACAAATTATTCTATTCTTAGGGACACAGGGAGAGAAGATAAACAAAAAAATAGAGATGTTTAATCCTGAAACTTTCCTAAAAGAAAGGGAAAAGAACCATGCTCTACAACTTCAAATTTTTCTTACAAAGAGAAATTTAATATTAGACGAGAGGCTGAACCAGGCTTCAAGCAGACAGACGCTGGGAAATGGTGCAGCCTGTGAAACACCAGTGTTCATGGACTGGGGAAGAGACCATCGCCTGTTCTAGAACACACCGTCCCGGGGTGGCAGTTTCAGCTGCCGATGTCCAGCCACAGTCAGACCAACGCCCAGCAGACACAGAGTCCAAGAGAATGTCGACAGTGTTTAGCCCTTTAGGAGAGGAGGTGCCCTCTGCAGCTGGTATTAAGTCACCTCTGGCATGCAAGGAGCCCGAGCCCGAGGCTGAGGAAAAGCTACCTGATTCTAGAGCTGCCCTGGAGAGCCCGCTCCCCGCTCCTCGGAAGCTCTCACTGGCAAAGCCAGCCCTTTGCAAGGGAAGCTCCCAGATACAATGAAGTTACACAGTTTCGTTCTGAAGAACATTTTGCATTTTAATAAAAAAAGCTTTATGTCAGGAAAGAGTCATTTACAAACCTTGAAGTGTTTTTGCCTGGATCTGGATTTAAGAATGTCTTACGAAGAGGTTTGTGAGGTCTTTATAACAAAGTGTCGTTATTTACAAAACATTGACAGGTTTTTAATATATTAGTTAAAAATTCGGGACCAAAATTGCTACCTGTCTATTTGATTGCAGCGAATCCCTGCCCAGGTGACATGAGGACGTCGGCATGACTGTTAACAGAAAGGAAGCCTTGGCAGTCCTAATGATCTGAAAGTGGGCTTCCCAAGACACAGTCGGAGTGAGTGCATTCTCAGGAAAACGTCAGCCCTCTTTCGGTTGCATATAAGAGCCCTCAAAGAGAACACAGAGCACAGCAGAGATTTGTAAAAGGCCACAGTACGATCCGACCCGTACAGACCCCAGCATTCTAGCCCCAAAGGCCCTCCCATGCCCTCCCAGCTGCCCGCTTTCTGGGGCAGCACCACCTGTCCAGGGCGCAGGCACACGTGCCGTGTTCACCCATGCAGTACTTTCCACAGCTGAGATGCAGAACAGCTGGTGTGGGCAGCTGGGGAACCCAAACCTAGGGGTGCCCTGGGGCAGAGCAGCCAGTTTCACTTACTCTGTTCACTAAGTGAAGGGTTATTCAAACAAAACCAAAGACAGCTGCAACCCAGGGTGGATACAAGGGACACTATCGGAATCAGAACTCCTGCCCAAAGAAAAGACTGCAAATAGTCATCTTGTGTATCTTATGTAAAGATAGGTTTATAGTGACTCCAAATACTTCAGAAACATTTTTGTAGTGTCAAGTTCTTTCGAACTCAAAATTTTACCCCCAAAGGATTTTCATGGAATAAGTGAGAATTGGCTCTATTTCTTCTACTTCTGTATAGCCCCAGTAAAAATACTAATAATTTCTAGATTTCTGTGGGGATCTACAATTGTTAGGACCCATGGATATTGCTGCAGTTCAAATACGGTACAATAATTACAAAATATAGACCATCTCTTTACAAATACAAATTGTATATTACAAGTCATGTACAATAAGTAAATCTATAATTTTTAAACAAACTAGCGTATCTTAAGTTTACCTGGTTGCAAGTGCATTATTATTCCAGTTTTACAGTTGCCCTTGAGCGTGACAGTCAGAACTGACCATCCGAGTGACGTGCTCGCATGTAAACTGGCGCCACATAGCAGAAAACCTTAGCTGTCAGGTCCTGCTCCCCTCTGGTGATGAGCACTGGTGGCGGAGTTCTGACACTCCACTGCCGAAGAGCAGAACCGGAACCAGGAAGCGGTGTGTTTGGGGGAAGGGGTTTAAAAATGGATATGCTGTGATACACGAGACCAGTGGCTGAGGTAATGACGCAGCTGTGGTGACTGTCATCACCTTTAACCTTCCCCCTCGTGCCTGTGGGTGGGCGTGGCTGGGCGCCCTGGGTAGTATCCGCCTGCGTGTTTCGCGGGGCTGGCCTGACTCCTCACCCATCCTGTCTCAAGGCTGGGCCTACTGTCTCTGCGGCCGGGCTGAGTGCACGGGGCACTGCCAGGACCGCTGCTCAGAACCTGCTCCTACCAGGTTTATGGCTTCCTTGAGGCATGACATCACTTGTACGAAAGTCTAGTTGAATATTTTTCTCCCAACTAGTGCCTAAACTTTCCTAACTACGAGGCACTTTATCCCTGGCCCTCCTGTGCCTCCACCGAGGCCAGAGCCAGTCTGCCCCTCAATGGGGCTACAAGGTGGTGATACAGATCATTTCATCAGCCAGGTCCTCCTCATCTCGCCCAGGGTCTGGCTCCTCGTCACTGTAGCCGGGCCCAAACTCCTGGAGCTCGTAGTCCTGCCGGTGAGAGACAAGGCCCACATCCCCACTGGCCCGAGGACCCATGCTCCCGTTGAGCAGGGTGCTGGCTGCACTCTCCATCTCATCAATGGTTAGGTCACAGGCATCAGCGATTTCATGTTTAGTCGCTGACACAAATTTTGGGTCCCTTGCATAGCGTCCTAAGCCTTCGGATATCAGGACCTGTGCGGGAAGGAAGAGCAAGGGCATGCGCGCGTTACAAGGCTGGGGAGTGGTGGCAGAAAGATCTGCTCTCACTAACCTGCACGATGTGCTTTCTGGACTCGGCCCACTCGTGTTTACGAGACCTTGCACACGACAACTAAATGTAAATGGCTGCAGCTCTGAAAATGTCACAGAGCTGGAAAGCTACTCACGGCCCAGGAAGAGTGGTGCCCCTGGGGAGACATGTTGCCCAGAGCAGTGACACTGGCAGGAAGTGCACATGTCCGGGCAGTGCAGCTCACTCATGAGTCTTGGCTGGATTTCTGCTCCCAGAGCTCTTGAACCTGGGCAGTGGCTCTGGAGCCTACACCACCTTCTCCTGCCGTGTGACTGGCTCTAGCCTGTGCTGCTCCGGGGCGTGCCCTCCCATGCCTGAGAACTATACTCACTGCCTCCACCAAGCTGTCTGCACTCCTCTGCTTGTCGCTGTTCTTGTTACGGAATCTGCTGGGGACAGTCAGGCTGGCTGGTGTGAAAGTCCGATAGGAGATGTCAGGCTCGTCCGTGTACCAGGAGCTGCGGTGCAGGGAGGGCAGGCTGCCGTTGACCTGGTCCAGGGACTCTGACCGCTCCACCTGGATCAGGGGGGTATAGCACGGTGTCCAGTCCCTGTATGGAGGAGTTGCTGGAGGGGTGGCCCACGACCGGGTTGAGTGGCTCGGTGAGTACTTCGGGGCTCTACTTGAGTCGAGGCCTGCAACTGCCATGATCTGGGGAGAGGAGAGGGGAAGAACAGAGCCTCAGAGGGCTGGCCCTCGTGCCCCTTTCAACAGACCAGGCACAGACGCTGCTTTACCGTGCAGCCTCCCCGAGGGCTCCGAAGCATTCATGCGGGAGACGAGACGAGTGAGCAGGCAGTAGAAGTGTGCCTTCCTAGTGCTGCCTCTGTCTGTCCCCCACATCCACAGTGCTTTTCTCCACGTGCCCAGGAGTTTTCCAATTCATGCACTCGATTCAGAATGACGAAGAATCGGGACGATGAACAAGCTGTGGGTGTAAACCTACCACCCACGCCACTCCGGTGTAAAGCCGAAGTACATTGAAGGGAAACCACGTATCCCGGCTCACGTGGGAAAACATAGCTGGTTCTCCTCACTCTAGCCCCACTCTTCTTGTGACCCTCCTTCCATAGGTCCTGAAACCCTAGGCATGAGCCTGCTTCTCACGATTCTGCCACAGCAGGTCTGCCTTGGGGTGCCTGCTTGGCAGAGGGGTGCCGAGGCCCATCCGTGTCAACACCACAGGTCCATGGCCAAACAGGAAGCCAAGGCCACCCAGTGGGGGCAGTTGGGACAAATGAGACCTGGGCCTGGTCTGAGTGGGACTCCTGCCCCTAAGGAGCTCCATGCCTGCTCGATTCATGGCGCCTGGTGGCATAGGGCTTCTATGGGTCTGTCCTTCCATGATGACACAAGACAGAAATAAAAGCTGGCATTTGAAGGGTACGCAGAGAAATGAAAAGCTGGCAGAAAAGACTCAGAAAATCTGAAGTGACTGCTGAGCGTTCATTTGTTCAGCACCGTGGGTAAGAACCCCGCAGAGCCCTGCCTCTGCCCCCGCTGGCTGCTGGACTCTCCCTTGACAGCCCTGCTCCATGCACACATGCAGCAGGTAGCAAGGCTGATGAGATTTTCAGAAAAAGAAAAAGAACCACATTCTTGTCCCTGAGGCAGAGCTCTGGTCAGTGGGATTTAGGCTGTGGGCTGCTTCCTGCTCGGCTGCCTTCCCATGGGTGTTGGTCCTCCTGGGCCTCAGGGAGGCTCACTGACCCCTGGACCACAGGTCCATCTGCCGAGGAAGGTCCCTTAATGGAGGAACCACCTCCTGGGGCAAATAAAGAGCAACACTGAGTGCTGGAAACCTGATTAGTGGCTCCACCACCCTGGGGCTTGGACCTTACCCGGCCATCTTCCCACCAAGGAGAGATGTGGGCACTGGATTCAAGTGCTAACCCATCCCACCCTCCTGTGGAGCAGCTGCAGAGCGGGGCTCGGCAGTGTGGCTGACGTTCATTCCTTCTTCCAGCTGCGGGGAAGGGCAGGTTCCAGGTGTGGGCGAGGCAGGGCCAAGGCCGGGAGGGAGGGCACGTACCTGCTGCTGCATCAGATGCAGAGGCAGGGCCGTGCGGTGCGGCAGGGTGGGGGAAGGCGGGGCCTCCTCCTGGCTGCTCTGCCGGCGCAGACATTCGAAGTTGAAGGAGGATCTCCGGTGGGCTGTAGAGTGAAGCACATCATGCCTGTGAAGCAGGTTCTGTCAAGAGCCTGCCTCCAGCAGTGAGCCGAGAGGGGTGAACCAAGTGAGCCAGGAGGAACCAAGCTGTGCATCCCAGTGAAGAATTAGCCCGTGAATCTCCCAAACCATCTCAGCTTCAGGAGAGGAGAGGGGGGAAGCAGCCCAGCTCAAGAGATCTTTTTTAAAAGTGCAAGTTGATTACCTTTAAATGTCTGCCTGTCTGTGGTCAGGCAGGTACACGGGGAACAAGCACACAAGTGACCCCCGTTCCCAGACATTCCCTCCTCATGGTCTTGCTCTTGCCTTCCCCATCCCGAGCATGGGGCCCTGGGTTTCTGCCTCTTAAAAGGGAAGGGTTCCGCCTGCTCCTAATCAGCTCTGCAGGCTGTGAGGAAACTTCTGTTGGGAAAGACCCAGCCTCCCTGGGACCCAGGAAGCAAAGAACAGCCCTAAGAATATGGCCAGCTGCGTGGACCTGTTTTGAGTGGCACTCTCAGGTGAATGACGACAAGATGATCCGGGCTTCCAGCCTCACAGAGCACCAGGCCTATGAGATCAGTCTGAATCCTGGGGTCTCTCAACGGAGCCAGAGGCCTTTCGCTGGAAGCCCCCTCCACCCTTGCAGAGCTCTGTTTCAGGGAGACCGGGTGTAGTTTGCCCGCAGCGGCTGCATTATCTCAACTGCCCCTCCCTTGACCTTTGCTTTCCAAGGTCATAGAGTGCTTCTGTACCCCAGCAAAACTCCATGTCCCCCAATTCCTATACAGGAGAACCTCGGGGGCTGCCTTGGGAGGCCTCCTGGGACCGCACATGAAGCTCTAGAAATGGGTCTGTGAAGAAGAACAGGCCGAGCCTCTTGCTGGCCAGCGCCCAGGGAGGAGGAATGAGCAAGACAGGCAGTCATGTCTCAGGCCCGATGCCCACTGAGGGGCATGCTAGGACCTCCTAACTGAGGAAGGAACCCTTCCCTCATGTAACAGTGTGCCGCAGAGGACAGGCCTCCCTGCCAGCACAACCTCAAGAGCCAGTTCAGAGCAAGATGGGATGCATATGGTGCCTCTCCATGTCCCAAACAGGTCCCTACATCCCCTTGTCAGTCTCTGGAGGTCAAGCCTCAGTGGCAGAGAACACAGCCTGACAGGCTGTTGCTGCCCGAGGTCTGAGCTGACAGTCAGCAAAGCTACCCGCTTCAGAGAGGGAGAGGGCAGCCGTTCCTGCTCGCCCAAGCTCCTCTTGGCACTGGGGCTGGGCCATCTGTGGAAAGAAGGCCATGCGCATGTCCCCTGGGCTGTGTGGACAGCCGAAGAGGTACAGGCATAGATCTGACAAAGGAAGCGGAAACCACAGGGCGGGGGCCTTTGCCAGGCCCTCCTGTGCATACTTCCAGGATTTAAGAGGTACAGTTTGGCTCCATTCAGCAGCATGTGTTTGGGGCTGCACAATTACATATTAACCATGGAAACGGGCCTGTTGACACTCCCCAGCAGGCCGTGATAGCTGAAGTGAGCGCAGGGCTCCAGGCACCAGCCAGCGTGCTCTGCCTGCCAGCAGTCGGCACACTCAGGAGCCACCCTGTCTCAGCTATTTTTGTTACTGATTAGAGTGCTGCTCAAAATTAAACTTCATTCCTCAAAAACCCAGAAATGGGTATTCATTAACCAGCCCCCAGATGCCCACACGCTCAGATTTAAACCAGATACTGGGAGCTGGCAGGGGCCTGCACATCTTTCCCCAGCGTGGCGAGACCCAGGCCTGAGAGCGCCATCATCAGTTCTGCAGGAGAGAGGCAGGAGAGCCCCTTGCAGGCCGGCTTTGACAGTCCAGGAATGGGACAGCCTATCCTGGAGGTGACCACCAAGGGCCAAACCTGCCCCTGAGCACAGGGCACCAGCTTACCTGGGGCACAGAGCGGGGGGGGGGGGGACTAACCCTGGGTGGGAGCTGGGGTGGGGCAGATACCAAGGATCCCCAGTGCTCCCTCCCGCACAGCGAGGGTTTGTGAGACAGGCCCGGGCAAGGGGCCCCACACCTCACCCATCCTTCCCTCTCGGACGCTCAGCTTCCTGGGCAAGGAGAGGGACCGGGCTGAGACAACAAAAGCACCCAGACATCTCGCTCCCCTGTCAGGATGGAGCCCAGCTCAAAGGCGATTCCGTGCACTCAGAAAGTCCGTGCTGCCGTGTGTGTGAGCGTAGGGTTCCACACTGCTCCTCTCTTCCCCGAGAGCCAGTAACCATTTGAGTGTCCCAAGCGCCATCACAGTGGACGAGAGAAAAAGGGAACATGACGCGATCTCCACCCAGGGGACCGGTCTGTGGTCGGGGCACAGGCACACTGGGAGGCTTCACCCAAAACAAGAAATCCAGCCTCACGTGGGGGGGTGGGAGGTAGTAGGCGTCTCCGGGGAGATCTCCGAGAGTCATAGCAGACAGGCGAGTCATCGTCCTCCGAGCAGCCTTGGGGTGGGTGGTAGCCTCGGGGCCTCTCGAAGTCCGTGGTGCCGCCCAGGTACCTGTTGTAGCAGCTGTAGTTTTGCCTACGGGTCAGAAAGGGGCCAAAGAGAAGGCATACATGAGATGCTGCGCAGCGAGCACCACTCCCCTCCCTTGGACTCAGCAGGACTAGCGGACGAGGCAGTCCTGTGTCACAGAAGACGCCAGGTGGAGAGCAAGGGCTGTGGCAGGGGGCTCAAGACTCCTAGAGGCCTACGATGAGTGCCTGCTGGGTTTCCACCCCCGGCCAGCCAGATGTGGGTCACAGTGCCCCATCTCCTGAGCGTCCCCCACTCATGTCCTCCCAAGACCCCTGTCCTAAGGGTCTGCCTCCTGCAGGTGCCAGACTATGCCCGAAGCACAGCTCCCACACCCACAGAACTTTAGACAATGCCAGGAGCACACAGAGTCAGGGCAAGCTGAAGAGGCTGAAGAGAGGAGCACACGGCAGGTACCATGAAGTGGCTTGTTTGGCGGAATAAGGCCACCAGAGATGGCTAAGGGCAAGGCTGTGGGGAAGGAAACACAGGTCCCGTCTGGCTCAGAATCAGTGCTCGGGGGAGTCAGGTGTTTGAGGGAGATGGAGGGAAAGGCCTGGAAGAGGGTGGCAGACTCTACACTGCTTGCTGTGTGTTCTGAAGCACAGTGCCTGTTTTAGCCACCAACACTCTTTCTACCAGACAGAAGCTGGGAGAGCCGCCTCTGCAGAGGGATGCTGCTCTGTAACCTACTAAGGGAACAGGAAGCGGGCGCTGTCCACTGAGACCCAGCCAAGCTACGGGGCTAGCCAGGCCACTAGGCCAACAGAGCCCCAGGGTGAAGCTCCCAGGTCGGCTAAATAACAACTCATCTCTCAGAAATGGGGCTCTACAGGACAGGGGTGAACTCACCCAGGAGCTTTTCCCTGGTAAAACAACGTGGCAGGTGTGAAACATGCCAGCGCCTGCTCAGTCCCTCCCACCTCCTGCCCTCCCCTGGCATAGAGCTGGGGCTCCTGCTTTGCTTTTCAGGGAACCCTGAATGCAGGGACAGCAGGGGCTGGGTGGGGGGAGCTCTCCGATCTCTGCCCAAGCCAGAGCCCCTCACCTGCTCCAGGTGGGAGAGCTGTCTTCCTCATAGCACTCCTCGCTACTGAAGTACTCCTGCTCCCCCAAGCAGCGGGGGTCCCTGAAGTACCCGTGTATCTCTGGGTCCTCTCGGCAAATAGTTGGGAACTGCTCATCCCCTGAGTCGGACCTGCAGTTGGGACAGAGGTCTGAGAGCCTGAGCCCTCCCTGGGAGCTCCTGGCTGCTCTCCAGGCAGCCCTGCCTCAAGCAGGTGGGACAGGCCTCTGGCAAGGACGCTCCGTGCGTGTGGTCTCTTTCCACAGCCTGAACATTGCCAGGCGGAACTGCTTGCTGGAGCCGAGGCGCAGGACAGACAAGAAGATGGACGTGGGGCACCGCATGTCCAGCAGTGGCGGCTGGGGGAAGGACCCTGGACCCCCAGGCCGGCTGTGCTTATCCCCTGCTCCACCCCAGGGTGACCTCCCAGCCCTGAGGGAAGAGGCCTCCTTACCACTGACTTCCCACTACAGCAAACCCGGAAGGGAAGGCGAGCTTGGGATCCAGTCACAGGGGAGGCTCTCAGAAATTTCTGCTCTGTTTACAAGGTCCCCCTGCCCCAGGCTCTCTCACCACCCCCCTGAAATCTGCCTCCTCCTGGCCTCAAGCCCCAAGAGAACCTAGGCAGGCTCAGGTGTGTCAATGCTTTCTCCAGAGGAAGAACCACCAGGCGCCCTTGGAGTGCTCCACTCCCTGTGTCCTGCCAAGGCCCCAGTGCTGCAAATGAAGACCCAGCCCCACCTGCCCCAACAAAATGATCCTTCTGTCCACACATGCGCAGCAGAATACGCAGCACACAGGGAGAGGGACACAGGGTGAGGACAGGGAAACCTGGTGCCTGGTCTTCAGGAGGCTCGGGCCATACTTTTCCTAAGCTGACTGCAGAGAGCAGCCAGAGCAGCCCAGGTACTCGGGCCTCCGGGCACAGCAGGCAGGTGCCCGCCAGTTACAAACCACCACCTCCAACCCCAGTCCACAGCCCTGAATATGAAAATCTACTGGGCTGCTCAGCACCGTGAAGTTATCCTTACTCCTCAGCACTCGGAGAGGCCAGTTGGTGACAAAACAGCACAGTATTTAACTCAAAAGCACAGGCGATGAGCACATACCTAATGTACATTTCATAATAGCGCGTTCTATCCAGGAAAGGCACAACATGAGAGGGAGGGAGAAAATAAAAGTTAAACATTTCCAACAACATTTAAAGTGCAGCTATCAGGCGACTTCCTGGAGTAAGGGGTGGACTAACTAAGCTGTGCCTGCCGAACGTGGGCTTTTGTATGGTGCATCAGCCAGGGACAGTTTTTACACTTACAAGGGGAATGGGAAAAAATGCAAAGAAAAATATTCCATCAGACGTGAATATATTCAGATTGTGGCATCCATGCATATGGTTTTACGGGGACACAGCTGCACCTGTTCACTGAAGTATACTCGGCAACGGCAGAGTTCAGTAGTTGCAAGAGAGACTGTGCTCTCTGGCCCTTTCCAGAGGAAATCTGCCAATCCCTGGCTCGGCCTATCTCGGCACAGCTGCAGAGATGGGGTGATTTTGTGGGTGTTGCTCTTAGGAGGTCACCCCACACTGCAGGATACAGGATGGCAGGCGGCTCTTTCTCTTAGGACCCTCAGGTGGCTGGTGTGTGGACAAGCCACAGCTTGGGGGCAACTCACAGTCCTAGTACGAATGCCCACGGGGATCTCCTGGGCGCGCCGGGGCCGAGGAGAGCGACACCTCTCTCCACAGACAGTTCCCACACAGGCGGATACTGTGACCAGCACAGACACATTTTCGAGGTTACCTTTTAATACTGGACCATCTTGGAGGCTCCCGGTCGTGCTTGTGGGAGGAATGATGCCCATTTTCAGACACATGCTCAAGGTCCCCAGTGCTGGGTCGCTTTCCATGGGCAGCTTTGGACATGTTGGCATTGTTGAGATTGGCATTTGTTGAGGTGGGAACTTGCTTTCCTACGGAATTACGGTTAGGACGGCTATGACACACCGAATTTCCTGCTGGAGGAAACAGCGGTTTCTCAGTATCACTCGCAGGTGGAATTGAAGGCCTTTGGACATGCAGGGGACGGTGGGTGGTATTGGTCTGCTGAAGGGAATCTCTCCTATCACTATTAACATGATTGACATGGTTTCCAAGCAGGGCACCATTTCTCTGCAAAATAATGGGAGACAACACCAGGTAATTTAACAAGTATTTGATGCAGGCTAGCTATGTTAGGTCATTCTTTCTACATGAAAAGCAAATTCTAGGTAAGCTGCAGGACAGTCTGTCTCAATGGTCAGGGTGGCATTTGGTGCGTGTGGCAGTTGGCCCCTCTGACGTGAGGAAGGTTACCGGTTCCCGAGCCAGGGAGCAAGCTCTCATCTGCCACTGGAGTGTGCTCTTCCAGTTGCTCTGAGTCGAGGTGGCGCAGCCCCCGGGTGGGGCAGTGGGCATGCTCTTTGGCCCGGGGGGCTTAGGACCCAGGGAAGGACGGAAGCATGGGAAGCTGCTGAAGGACCCAGGGTGGTCCTCCACCCTGGCCAGTGGCCGTGGCCAAGCTCCTCAGCAGCTAAGAGCCAGGGGCAGAGGACGCTCAGGGAAGGAGCTGGCCCAGCCTAGAAGAGGCCCTGCTGAGTGGAGAAGGCCTGGGGGTGGGGAGGACATGTTTTCAAGCCCCACCGGACCCTGCAGCTGGTTTGCACTCTCCAGACTCGTCTGTGGATCACTAAGTACCGCACCAGAGCCCTGCCCCACTACATCCAGGTGGCCAGTGTGTAGCTAGGCGTGGAATAATTACTTTGAATACATCTTCTTCTTCTCTCTTTTCCTCTGGCTCATCATCTTGCAAATCACAGGATATAGCACGCCGGATTTCTGGCCCAATGTCATGCAGTGTCCTTAATCCTGCCTAGATCAATGAAAACAGCAGAACAGATTAGACAACACGAGCCCTACGTTCAGCCTGGAGCTTGGATTTGCTCCTGCCTGATTCAGCGGTGAGAGGAGTAGTAGTCTCTAAAGTCCAATCCAGGAACTGATGGACTATAACTGAAAGCAGCCGAAGGGTTGCTGGGTGTGACTAGGGGGGATCACAGGGTCCTGTTCCTGAGTAACCTCCTTTGCAAACGCCCCCACTCGCAGGAAGCACTTCCTGTTTGCTTGTAGTAGGGGGTCTGTCTGCCATGGCCAAGGGCGTAGGCCCCATCTAAATGACAGTCTTTGGCAAGATCACTTGCAGGCTGCATCTCCTGAGCCTCAAACAGGGTAGGGAGCATAGCCTGGCTATTCTAAAGGGAGGGCAACAAGTCCACCCTAGTTGCGTCCGGGATGAGGCGGCCTAGGTACAGGTGCCAGAGGAGCAAGCAGACCAGGAAGGCATCATGGTCACTGGCTCTGCTGAAAAGGCATGAAACAAGTGAGTGACACAACACACTGCAATCACCAGCACACTCGGACCACGACAGAACGACTGACACGCACACAGAGCTGGCTGCTGTGCAGGCGGGCTGCCATGGCTATCTGTGGTGCCCTGGCCTGCAGTCTGCCACACGAGGGGCCATACTTCTGAAGCCCATGACAACTTGAAAACTGTTCACTGGCCTCTGTAGGCAGCACAAGACCCCCTGGGTGACCTGCAGGCCCCTCACAAGTTCTGCATTGCCCTAAGGACCTCTTAGCTGGCCTTCCTTACTCCATCCAAATCTTTAGGATAGGGCCTGTGAGAAGCCCGCACTGTTCAAACTCACAGCTTTGTTAGGGAAACATTCTGCAGTGCTGAGGGACTACAGATGGGGAAAGGTGCCGTCTCCAGCTTTGAGAAAGTGATGATGCTTTGGCCACCGATTTGAAGAAAACAACATGCTGACCTACAGACGGATAGGGGCTTTATCCTTTCCCACAAAAGTCTTGCATCCGAAAGGGGAATTTCCCTTCTGCCCCCAGGTCTGTGGTCCTCTATCTAGGCAGTGCCTCCTCATTTACCAGCAGCTCCTCGGCTGCTGAGAAATGGCAGAGCAGCTAAGATGTTGAGTGCGCAGGTCTTCCCTTGCAGCTGAGGTCCCCGCGTCAGGGACGTTTGCAAAGGCCAGCTGGTCACAGAGTGCTGGGGCCTTGGGAGAGGAGCCCACTCTCCTACCCTTTTCCCTCAATACCTCACAGAGGACACCGACAAAGCATGATGAGCACAGCTGAGATATTCAGACCACAGGACAGGTGTCCAGCAGTGGTGTGGAGCAGGGGAGGGGAAGGTTGGTAGCTGCCAGAACCAGCAGGCTGGGGCCTCTGGTGTGAGGATGCTCAAAACTGACCTGCAGATGCCAGTGGTGATGACGTTAATCCAGCATGTAAAACTGCACAGGAACTACCCAGGAGGCCATTCATACAATGGCCTTGTCCTTAGGAACACTCGGGCTATGAGATGACCGTGTTAGAAATGAGACAACCGGCAGAGTCTGACCTGAACTCTGATGTGAACTGAGCACAGCAGGTCTGTTTTGTGAACTGGGGGGGATCAAAGGGGTGCCAGGAGTCCAAGTGTCAAGGCTGCTGGCTAGAAGTGCTGTGGTCTTGAAGGGGACAGACAGACATGTGCCAGGGTCAAACCATGTTTTTGGTGTGATCCACGAAGCTGCTTCTCACTCTTCTGCCCCTATGATCACAGGCACAGGACACACACGTGCACACGCGTGCACACAGGGACACACACTTTCCCTCTTCCAAGTTCTCTCAGTTCAGCACACTGAAGCGTGGGGAGCCATTTGCTTCTGAGGCAGACCCACCTGCCATTCTGTGGAAGTATCATGATGGGACCCTAGGTTATGTCGGTAGAAGGTCTTATGCAGCTCAGCTGCAGGCACATAGAGAAAGGCTGTTCCCAGCAGGGCTGATGGACGAGCCTGCGATGCATTCGTTCAGTTTCCTAGAGTACAATTTTCAAGGGATGATAAGCTAAACAAGGGTCTCATTGTTTGATTTTGGATCAACTGGAAAGAAAGTTCTGTTCCATATCTGAGGCTCAAACAAGAAGAGACAAGGCTTTAGACACCGGTTGGTGTCTCCAAAAATAAACCTGGATGACAATCCACTACCATCAGCACCCCCAAATAAATGATGCATGTTAATCCATGTTACAAGGCACCAGGGACCAAGAAAACTCCCGAGTTTAAACAGCAGAGAGCCTAGTGACTGTCATTCAACTGACTGGACTAGGTCTGAGTAAAAGAAATAGAAAACTATTTATTTGGATAATTTTTAACATCATCCTCTGTTGATGGGTTGACATTTCACTGAAATACATATATAACATGATTGTATAATATAAACAAAAACTGTCTCCAGCATGTCTTCAAGTGATACACAAGATTAGGATTCAGTCAACAAGATAATGCAGCAATCAGACATGGGACAGAGGACTTGGCTTGCAACATAAATCACGAAGGAGGCTGAGAGGTGGCCCAAGGTACCATTTCCCAAGACAAATAATGACAACATATTCATTAAAAAGAGGAGGAGAGAAAGCATCACTCTTCCCAGATATAAAAGCAGAAGTTTAGAAATCATGACTCTAGTTTGTTTGTTACACGCAGGACAAAGCACACCTGGTAAGAGTCGACAGCGACTCAGCTCTTTCACACGCGACCCAGGGTGGGGTGGAGGATACAGATGTTCCCAAACTAGAATTGAAATGAAGCTTAAGCACAGCACCCTGAATTTATTACATATCACAAAACATGATGATGAAGTTTTTCTAGCACACATACCAAGCTAAAAGGTAGCTTAGGCTGCTCCAAAAATTCCATAGGCACAAATTTCGGTTCCTAAAAGTACAAACAACTGACTTGAACCCTTGAAAAAAATTATTTGTTCTTTCACCACCCTAAAAACCACTTTTTTTCATGAAATAAACACTTTACAATCAGTAAAATTATCATTCGTTCATACTTCACGTCTGTGTTCACCTCTGCAAAATATTACTTTGATTTGAAATGTGGTCATTAGCACTTAAACCAACACAAAGCCATAAAAAGTCATTCCATTAATATCACAGTAGAATTATGGTTTCGAATAAACTCAGAATTACTATAAAATATAAATATCATTGACTTGTTTTAAGATGTCCAATCTTATAAAATATTAAACAGAATCAAGCCTAGGTTCTGGTTGCTTTTAAAATGCTAGATGTTATCATAAATTTTTTTTTTAAAAAGAAATGTTGGCGCTTTGCCTGTAGACTGATGCTTTAAATTTTAGACACCATTTGATTGGAATTTTATAGATACTTACTCTACTCAATGATTAAGTCACCAAAAAATCTAGAAAATCTCTCTAAACATTTCTAAAGCAACAGCATAACAGTATGGCATTTTGACATCAAATATGAATACTCATTGACATTTCTTTCTCTTGCTTACTTTTAGGGTTCAGTTCTCCTCCCTGGAGGCATCTGAAAGGCCTTCTCTGCCTGTCTCCCTAAACTGGCTCTATCAGACACAGTAGTCACCTGAAGCTCTCAGACCACCACACACACACACACAAACACCCCAAGACCAGCCCGAACCTACGCTGTAGCAGTGGAGAAAAGACAGGCAAGTTTCCAGCCGGGACTGGGCTGGGTCATCCATCTTCAGGATATGGGCGCCAGGCTCGCAGACTCCGGCCAGAGAGCCTGCTCCTCATCAGCAGGCAGGCTTCCCTCAGCCAAGACCAGCCCTGCACACAGTCATCTCGCTAAGGACAACTTCTGGTTAACTCTTTCACAGGAGCTGGCCTGCACCCCGCCAGAGGGAACAATGTCAGACTAGCTCCGAGAGGGGAAAGAACTGGAGATTAAGCTCTTACAGCATACACTTGCTCATCTATGAGCTGTCCTCTGCCTCCTCCACACATACAGACACACCCCTGATTTTGTCACTGCCCTCCTCCAGGGAGAATGTCACCGTGTGGCCTTTGTGTCCGTAGTCCTCGTGTCAGATACAAAGGGTTAGAATCATGGGCACACACTCCGTTAGTCATCCACAGATTCCGACTCTCACTGAAACGTCAGCAATAACATTTCCCCCAGGAGTTTCCCTGGTAGTAGCAGCACTTGGCTGTATGGCTGAAGGAAATGGAAAAACAAAAATATTTAAAGTAATCTATGGCTTTCCCTGGGAACGATCTGATGAGAGACCTGTTTCAGCTCCACCTTGATTTCTCTCTCTCTGGTGCTAGGGCTCAAACCCGGGGCCTTGGGCACACTATGCAAGCGCTCTACCACTCAGATGTGCCCCGTACCCTCTACCTTGATTTTTGGTTGTAGTTCTAACAGGAAAACAAGATGAATTCTCGTTGGTTTCTTGAAAGTGAGAGAGCATTACATAAAATTTAGGCTTGGCAGAAGCTGTAGATCACGACTCCATTGTGACAGCATGGTCCTCCTATTGTCATGAGCCATATACTGATATTCTGCTAGACCAGTGATGGTGAACCTTTTAGAGCTTTTACTGATACAAATATCCCACTGAAGCACGTGTGCCATAGGTTCACCACCACTGTGCTAGATCCCGGGAGGAAGGACGGGCCGAGATGATGCCTGTCTGGTAACCTCATGTACCCACGCTAGTGAAAGGCCCAGCGAGGACCCTGCTCACTAGGCCTGCGCATCCCATGATGCTATACTAGCAGAACCTCTCCCAAACTCCCACCTTGACCATCAGCAAGACAAAGCCACTTGCATCTGTTGGGGAAGAATGTGGGTATGGAGTCTCAAAGTGATCCTCCTTTTGACTAAATAGCAGAGCTCTCACTATATGAGCATAGAAGTGAAAACAATCACAAGTTGTCACTGCAACTTGTCCTAAGTCTGGCACAGATTCAGGTGTGCCACTTGGAGGAGATGAGGTTTTTAAACAGTCTCCTCTACGCACTAAC